CCTTTTTGAAAATAATAATAATAATAACAATATTAAAAAAAAATTTTTTTTAAATAAAACACTGATCAAGAAATATGAAGTATTGTATTTGTTTACCTGCATGTCACGTGACCATAAACCCACATCAGAGCACCGCAAACATGCAAAAGAGTATTTAAAATAGTTTGGGCATTCCAGATAGCGAATACTTATTAGAAGTAATAATTAATCTGGATAATTATTATTACTAGTAATATATTTATTATGTACACTACACCAAAGACTATATTTAAAGGGACTTTGACTATACTCACATAGCATTGCGAGGTAATGTACAATCACATACAGTAAACGACAGTTATGGGCCTCTACAGCTGCGTGTGACGTCACTCCAGCAACGCGTCAGCATAAGCCAGAATCTTCGCTAGGCTACTTAGCAACTAGCTTCAGCCTGTCACGCACATATTCCCCCCAAGCTTTTCATAAGACTATAAGTCTTGCAGTCATTACAACCATAAGAACAGCTAAAATCCCCGCAGACTGTCACTGAATGAGGTGTTTACGGTGAACGAAGAGCAGACAGAAGGCGTGTGAATGCGGCGGGCTAAAGCTAAAGTCAGTGCGCCGCTCATCATCTGACAGCTCTGCCTCTGCATCAGCTCATATCACAACACAACACTTACAACAGCACAGAATCAATGCACTCTTTCACATCAACTCTGCTGGACGCAAAGCTTTAAATACGCCATATTTCAGGGTTCACCCAAGCCAGTGATATATTATTAACATTAGCTCACCTCTAGGGAAATCAACAACGATGGTTTAAATATGAATCGGTTATCGCTTCTGATCTGCTGATGAAGATACCGGCGGTTTAAAGATGTCTTGCTTGTCAGCTACATATCTGTAGTATTCTTCAGTTTGCAGACAGCTGGTTTTCAAACGCCTGGCGTCGGACACTTTAACTTCAGTCTGGTGCTACATGGTATGACACATTCAAACAGCTTCTTCCGGTTGTTGTGGGGTGCTGAGTGAATGGAGGAAGCGGGCAGCGGCGGTGCCTCCTAGTGTGGATGCGCGGAACGACTCACAGACGCGCATTGATCCCTATACTACGAGACAGAGCGGGATCTATCCCAGCCCAGACGCCCCCGTGTGGCCATAGAGTCAATTACATTACGTTAAGAGATGAGCAGTTAGGACTTGGTTTAGGATTTTTTTTTTCTTCTTGATGGTAAAATTATTTAATTGATGTAAAATACAGTTTAGAAGGTCAAATTTATTTATATAGCGCATATAACAACATGAGGGCTAAACAAAGTGCTGCATACCAGGTATAACAGGAAATAAAAATACAGTAAAAATAATATATATATATATATATATAGTGATATTGAGATAAAGAGATAAGAGAGGGGCGGAGAGAAGGAAAATGGGAAAAGAAAGAGTGATGGATAAAAGCAGGACAATGGCATGGGAAGATCTCCACCAGAAGGATTCCATGCTGGGAAAAGATGAATATTGACTTGGACATGAAAATTAATGTCTCATGAAATTAATTACGAGCCAACATAAATAAAGCATGAAAACTAAAAATGTAAAACAAAACAAAAATATTTTTAAAAAAACTACATTAAATAATAAAAGTAATCACTTTTATTATTATTTTTTTTAAATCTATTAATTATCTTTATTCTATGAACCTAAGTCATGTCATGTAATAAAAATAAATCATGTATTAAATACTGTAACATGTAGAATAGATCATCTGTATATATTACATATATTGCATATAAGTAATTTTTAATATAAAATGTAATTTAAAAATGTGTTTTAATGTGTCTATTTGTTTATTAACTAATAATGTATTATTAAAATACTTCCATATTATAAATTGTATGTGTGTGTATTACAATTATTATTAAGTAATACAATGTCAAATAAAATAATGTAAAGATGAAATGTGACCCTGGCTGTGAAAACCCAGCTAAAGTCATTTTTTTGTGATTTACTGTTTTCTACATAAAATCACCCTTCATAAGGTAAAGAACATTCTGTGAAAATGTAACCTTTATATCTTTAATATTAACTGAGTAAGACCATGTCAGAGATTGAAATCATAGTGAAATGAATGGTTGAAATCAAACTGTGATGCTTGTTATCTCATAATTCGATTATTAGAGAGAGAATTAGAGATATCTCTCTCTCTCTCTCTCTCTCTCTCTCTCTACGTAAATTGTTAATAAGTAGTAAATTAATAATACACTATTTTACGATTAAAAATACAGTAAAAATAATATATATATATATATATATATACTACATTATACTGTATATATGCTATATATACACTACATATGACAGAAGGCATGTAGTAAATTGTGCCTAAGTAATGTGATATCACATTTCTCAGGCATCTGAATTATCAACAAGATCAAAACCTTGCTGAAAAACCTGCTGTACACAATATACTACATACCTTCTGTCGTCTTTAGCACGTAAAAAAGACCTTTTAGTATCATCCTAAAAATGTCAACATTCCAGTGTCTTTTTGCTGTGAAATCTTTACTGATTTTTATAAAGTAATAGCAAGCGTAACTGTTATTTTGTTAGTAATTTTTCAAGATGTACTTAGGTTTTATTTGACTGTCAGTATTTTAAAAATAATAATGTTAAAATGTACGTATTAAACACGATACATCAGGCATTTGTTGCCCCCAACAATAAAAACTACAGTACATTGATAATAAAACTAAATATTTAAATATCATCTTACTGAGACATATTATTGGGAGACGCAGAGTGACAACTGATATTTATAGCCCATGGATTTTACGTAAGTAGTCTACTATACTATAAGTTATTCACTATTAGTATTGGTGTTAAAAGAATACACAGTTTACCTACCTTTTGTTTATAATAGTCTAGATTCATATATTCAGGTCATATAATTATTTAAAGAATGAAACAATTTTCCTTGAACTGCTTACATTTACTTAAATATTTAAATTCAAAACATTTGAATTATAGCACTTATATTATTAGCATCACTATATTCTTATAATTATATTATTATTACATTATTATATTACTATATATAATTATGACACATGCATTGTAATGTAATTTTACATATTATAATGTATTTTACCTTAATAAAAACTTTGAAACATATATACATGAACCCAGATAATCTGCATTTTGAATGTTGAAATAAAAATAGCCCAAACTCTTAATAAACCTTTCGTTCATTCTGCTAATAATAACACATTGCAACAGGCTATGGAAAAACTTATAGCACCTGTAAAATTCAAACTTGATGCCTTTCTTTTCTTTTTTTCAATTGAATATTTTGATTGTATCTTTATTAATTTGTTTTTGCTATTAGTTGTTTTGTTATTGTGTTTTGTTGTTGTTATTAGTGTGTTTGTAACCTTTTTATGTTGTTCTGTGTTCTGTAATAATAAAGAAATAATAAATAACACTTTCTTTGCTGCTTTAATGAAATAAACTCTTCTTTATTGCAATAATTTAGACATTGCCAACAGAGTATTAAAAACATCTAGTCATTTCTAGCATCCTTTGACGGTGACAAGTCCAATTTCAGTTCCTTAAACCATAATATACCCTTTTTTTTATATATATATATCAAGGAATATATACTAGTTTGAAACAACAAGTAAGTAAAAGATGAGAGAATTCTCCTTTTTGGATGAACTAGCCGAGTCTCCCCACAAGTTTAATCCAGTATCATTAAAGGGGTCATATGATGCTGCTAAAAAGAACATTATTTTGTGTATTTGGTGTAATGAAATGTGTTTATGCGGTTTAAAGTTAAAAAAACACATTATTTTCCACATACTGTACATTATTGTTTCTCCTCTATGCTACAATACTACAGCGAGAATAAAAGTTACGCCTTTCTTTGCTTGAACATTTGGGCGGCGTTATGCAAATCTTCCCACTTAGTGAGGTAGATATGTGGGGGCGTTTTAGAACGAGCCGTTTTAGGGGGGCGTGGCAGAGTCTTAACTTTTATAAAGAATATCTCTTTGGATTTGAGACTTTAGTCTTTGCAACTTTACAGATCTTCTTTATGCACCAAGAGCTTGTACCACTCTAAAGAGAAAGGAAAAAATGAAATCGCATCATATGACCCCTTTAACTTTTATTTTGAAATCCCAGTCAGTGGCACCGGAAGTGAGTTCCAGATTCGCGGAGTCTGTTCGCGTCCACGTGAGCTCATTCTCACACAGGCGCAGTTATCGCGATGAGTGATGTTGGTGGGTCTTCGAGATAAATCGTAAATGTAAGCATTACAGTACGTTCGTTATTTAGCCCTCAGTTTATAACCCACAGTCAGTGCCATTACTGTTAGTATTTATGATGATACGTTTTATTAATTAGTTTAAAGGGGTCATATGATGCGATTTCAAATTGTCCTTTCTCTTTGGAGTGTTACAAGCTGATTGTGCATAGATAAGATCCCTGAAGTTGCAAAGACTAAAGTCTCAAATCCAAAGAGATATTTAGATGAAGCTCGCGATTATGGTAAGGGGCGTTACATTTCAGACAAGTGCTTGCGGTTTTCGGCCAATCACAATGCACTGGGTTAGCTGGCCAATCAGAGCAGACTGCGCTTGTCGGAAGGCGGGACTTTGTAGCAAACGAAGTGTTTGAGAGAGGCGGGGCATAGAGGACCTACAATAATGTACAGTATTTGAAAAACAATGTGTTTTTTGAACATTAAAGCATGTCAACATATTCTGTTACACCAAATACACAAAATAATGATCTGTAAAAAAGCATCATATGACCCCTTTAATACAGAGTTAACCATGGTGTCACCATGTGTCTGTCAGACTCCAGTTGAGGTTTAACAGGTCAGCTGGTCATTCCTCTACTGATAGATAGATGTGCATGTTGTGATGCTTAATTCAACATCTAGATATAACAAATGTAAATGTGTGTTTCTTTTAGGTTGAATTGGTGAAGTGGAGAATGGGATGTAGTTAAGATCCAGAGGGATTAAGGCATCATGACCGAGGACCTGTTAAGAAACACACAGGTGTCCATGAAGCTGGCCGCTTTGCGCTTTATGGACTTGCCACTGTCAGTCTATTACTCCCTTCCACAGGTAAACTGACCAGCAGCAGGGATGTTTTCTAAGCTTAATGATTCCAGGCTTATCACATCGTCATATATATAAAACATATAAACAGTGCTGGGTAGTAACCGATTACATGTAATCTGGATTATGTAATCAGGTTCCAAAATGTATGTACTTGTAATTACATTATATAACATTTTAAAGTACTCATAATTAGGCCTGTCACGATAACAACTTTTTGTTGTGCGATATATTGCCCCAGAAATAATTGTGATAAACGACATTATTGTCATTTTAAAGACCATTTTATGCCACTGAATATAAATCATAATGTAACAGCATAATTATGCAAGAAGGTCTACACACTTCCAAATGACAACAAACTTTTAATTTTTAAGAATATTTAGATCATGGAAATTAAGTATCAAAATATTAGATACCTTAAAAAAC